ACTGATTCGTGAAAAGATCCATGTAGAACTTTTAAGTCAGGGTGGTAAACTTCTACGTATTTACCTTCTGGGGTATAAGATTCAATTTATTGACAGCCTCTCCTTTTTGCCCCTTAAATTAAGCAGGCTACCAAAAGCTCTGGGATTTCAGGGCAGCAAGGGGTACTTTCCCCATTTGTTTAATACAATGGACAATCAAGACTACATTGTACCGCTCCCTGAGGCTAAGTATTATAGTCCTGAAACCATGATGCCTGGTGAGAGAGAAGAATTTCTGAAATGGCATGCTGCTAATGCAGGTACCGTATTTAAACTAAAGAAGGCTCTGGCTTACTACTGCCAACAAGATGTAGAGATACTGAGGGAAGCCTGTATTCGGTATAGGGAGCAAGTCATGAAAATGACAGAGCATGAGTGCCTCAGAGGTGGAGGGGGAGATATTGCTGAGGAGGTTGTGATTCGGTGCCTTGACCCCTTCCAACATGTTACACTGGCCTCTGTCTGCATGGCACAGTACTGGTTCATGTATTTGGAGAGTAATACCATTGCATTAGCCCCTTTGGACTCCTACCAAAAGGTGCAGAAAAGAGATTCAGCACCAGCCATTCAATGGCTAATGTACACAGCGTACACCGAGAACCTAAATATTCAGCATGCTCTGAATGGTGGTGAGAAGCAAGTAGGCAGATATTTTTTGGACGGCTTTGCTGTCATAAACGGGACACCCACAGCTTTTGAATTTCATGGCTGTTTTTTTCATGGGTGCCCTGTCTGCTGCTGTGAAAATGACTTCAACAAATTACTTGCTTCAACATATGGAGCTCTGCACAGCCATAGTAGGTTTAAAGAAGAGTTCCTCAGAGGCAGTGGTTATGCCATGCGCAGCATCTGGGAACATGAATGGAGGGGCTATGTTGGAGACTGATGCATCTTTGAAGCAGTTTCTAGTTGGGAATAAGCTCCCAACTCCTTTGAATCCACGAGATGCATTTTTTGGAGGTAGAACAAACGCCATATGCCTGTACTACAAACCAAAACCTGGGGAACAAATCTTATATTACGATTTCACCAGTTTGTACCCCTTCGTGAACAAGAACAAG